TCCTACATTGGGCAAAATGGACCTAGAATCTACGGGGTTCCACTAGACTCTAAGGTCTCTCAAACCGCTACGCAAAATGGTTGGAATTTCAGAGGGGCCAAAAGTGAGAGAATGGCTTCTGTGTTATCTCACTTGACAACCATTCAGCTCTCTGAGAATATGAAGGACAAATACAGATGGAGAGATGGAGTATGCCCTTAAAAAGACTGTTTCAAGTTCTCCAAAGCACGACAACAGTTGGCTGCTCCTTTCTCTGAGGTTCAGTGGCACAAAGAGGTATGGTTTTATGGCCATATTCCTAAACATGCTTTCATCTTATGGCTAGCTTGTCTGGATACGCTTGCTACAAGATCCAAATTATATAGTTGGGGAGTTATTGATGATAGTACTTGTGTCCTTTGTGAGATATACAATGAGACTAGAGATCATCTCCTCTTCAACTGCCCTTACAGGCAAAACGTGTGGAAATTGGGTTTCCGTAGGCTTAGTGCTCTTTATATTGGGTTTGGAACTTGGTCAGTCTTCGAGAGATGGTTGAAGCGAGGTTATCCAAACGTAGCATAGAACAATCTACGGCTACTTATGGCTCAGGAGATTATTTATGACCTATGGAAGGAAAGGAATGACCGCATCTTTAACAACAAGTCTCTCCCGGCGGAGTCCTTGTTCAAGAAGGTGGATAGAGGTGTCCGGAATTCGTGTCTTGCTCGCAAAGAAAGACCATCTTTTTCTGACTCTCTAGGCTTGTGGTTCAGAGGTACTTTACCTCTAGTGTAAAGTTATCTCTTTTCTCTTTTCTCTTCTTTTTATACCTTCATGGGTCATGACCGAAGGTTGTATTTCTTTTCTTTCTCTTCTTATGTAACCAGCTCCAATTGAAATATAATCAGAAATTTAAAAAAAAAAAATATTAAAAGTTGTTCGTCTCAATTACGTACAGTTTTAGGTAATCTTTGCGCCTAAATTTTTTATCATTGTTCATCTTTCTTCGAATTTTGTGTAAAGACATGGGTTTTGACTCTTCTTGAAAGTTGTTCGTCTCTCTGCGTTCGTTGACTCTTCTTGAAAGCTGTTCGTCTCTCTGCGTTCGTTGACTCCCTTCTTAACTAGGGTTTTGACATTTGGGTTTTCTTCAAGATCCTTTATAATTTTTTTGCTAAAAAGATCCTTTATAAATGTCCTAAGTGAAGTAAGCGACCAAGGCATATGGAGTAAGTATTGTAAGAACGTTTTATCTTTTCATTAATTATAAGATTTCTAATAGTTGTTTATGTAATTAGAGACGTGTTGGACAATAGCCCTAACAAGAGGTCTAGGCTCCCTGCCTTTTCGTAAATAAAGTCGTACCAAGCCCGTTAACTTGAGCGCGTTACACCTGTTTACTGGAATCAAAGGATCCTCATCAAAACGTAAGAAAAAAAGTTTCGAAGCGCTAAAAGAAAATTTGGAAGGGATAAAAAAAATTCTCGAAGATGAAGGAGTTGTTGAAGAAGAAGATTGTGAGTACGGACGCGAAAAACCAAAATGGAAATCTAACTCTCAACAGCGCTTTGAGAGACTTGAGGTAATTCCTAACATTTTAGTTTC